CCCCAAAACCCCAAAACCCCAAAACCCCAAAACCCCAAAACCCCTTTAGGAGTGAATGTGATAGAAGAGATATAAATTAAATATGTCAGATTCTTATGTGGGCAGGAGTGGTAGGGGTGAGATGAGGGGGTTTAGAGGTTCTAAGGAGTCGGAGAATGACTATCAGATGGAAAATGTTTTGAGAATGCAGAGGAAAGAGAGGGCTGTTAATTTGGATAGCTCTTCAACTAGGAAACCGTTTTTGACTAAAAGTTCATACAAAATATATGGAAATTTGCTCTCTAAAATAGCCAGTTCAGGTAGACTTAATAAGACTCCGTATTCTCGAACTAGAAATGCTGTATCTAAAACACATCAAAGCTTTGAAGAACTACAGAGATATAGCCAAGAGAAGTTTGAATTCTTATAAATAGGAGGAAAAAGTCTCTTAAATTCGGCATGAACTCTGACCGATACAATAGCCCTGCTGTCAGAAATATGGCAAATAGTAGCTTTGAGATTTACAACAGTGTTCATCGGAAAAACAAAAGAGCTTCGCAAAGGCATTTTCGGAGACTTCCTAAAGGGATTGAGAGAACTTATGAGTCAAATTCCAATATCAAGATTATTGATAAAGGTAATTTTATACCTAAATAACTCATTCTAGACGGTAATGAGTCGAATCAGATGGCTACTACAGCCACTACTGGTCATGAAAATGATAAGAAGATGATCAAAAAGCTTAAGAAAGAGTATTTTGTTATCAACAGAAAATTAAAAAAAATTAATTCTCAACTTAATGCGATAATTGCTCAGCATGGAGCTGGAGACTCTTCTCCTGACGCTCAGAACACCTCTCTCCAACAGACTGATCCTGAATATTTAGAAGCCGTTCTGGATGCACAATTCCTTAATGCTGTTAAGCAGAAGGAAGTTTGTGATAAGGAGCATCAGCGCCTCACAGAACTTACGAATTAAATTGGCTAAATTCGTTGAATCACGGGATAAAAATATGAAACTTGACGCTCAAATATAGATCAGCAGAAATATCTCCAAAAAGAGCTTAAAAGTGTAAGATTTAGGATAAATCTCTTTAGAAAATCTACATGAATAATAAGCTTCTTTCAGAACTCACTAAAGATCCAGAATCTAAGAAAAGGCAATATCATAATTTACAAGCCCAACTCAGTGTTTGAAAGGAAGCATTGGAGGCGACTAAAGCTCCAAAGACTTCTGTAGAATATATCTCTAAAGTTTCGCTGCCAACCTCACTAATCGAGGAATCTTCTTTACAGAATAAGCAGATGGAGCTTCTTAAAGAAAAGTTCGAATTAGCTCGGGCTAAATTAAATACAAAAAATTTTCAAAAAGAGGCTTCATCAAATAGGTATCAAACCCCACTCACGAACCCAAATTTGGTAGATAAATGACCTATTCATCCAAGCTCTGTTTCAAAACTGCTGAAATAACATTGTGTCTACAAATAAGCCGAAACTATATTCCTTGAAGGCAAAAGTAGCCAAAATTGAGAAAGAAGTGAAAGAAGCAGAGGAGAAATATGAAAACCTTTGTGTAAAATTGGTCAAGAGAAGGAAGGTATTCAACATGTATCAAGGTAAGTGTTGACTCTTGGAGATATTCCTTGCTTCGTCATGTTTAGGTGCGGAGTTAATACATCTGTGCTGTGAGTTTGGGGTTTGATAGAATATGGTTGCATTTATATTGTTCTCTAGCATATGTTACGACAAATATCTTTTCAAAAACTTCAAATCAGAGCTAATAAAACTGAATTAATTAAAATCAAAATTTCAACAAAGAAATATCCTGAAGGGGTTTTGGGGTTTTGGGGTTTTGGGGTTTTGGGG